AGTGCGAACAAGGACCGATGGTGAACTGAGGAGCGCAAACTAAAGAGCAGATGAGTACCGATTGTAAACTGAGGAGCACGGACGAAGAGCGCGAATAGGCGGGTCATAGACGATTGCTGGCAGACGAGGAGCGTAAACCGACAGAGGTCACAACTTGAAGTACTTTTGAGTAGAAGGATGACGGCGGACCGACGGTAAGTTGAGAAATTTCTGTTAAGATATGGGACTCCAGACGAGTGAAGACGAGAAGGGATCATAATTCAGACATCAGAGACGGGAAAGCGACGGGAGATATGAATTAGGGCTTTAGTGTTGAGACAAATTGTGATGTTTATACTTTTATTTCATAAAACTATTTGGGATTTAATCAATATATATATTATATTATAAACAAATATTATATTGTATATAATTTAAAAAAATTATACAATTATTATTAACGAATCAAATATCTACAAATTCAAATTCTAACTAGTATTCGATCTTGTGCATTTGCACAGATATAAAATACGTTTCTGTTTGTATTTATTAATTAGACATGTACTTCTATTATATAAAAATTATTACTTTTTCTTAAGTTATTTTTATTATTCAAAACTAATTGAGATTTAAATTTTATTTTAACCATGCAATGTTTACATTAGTAACTTGAGTAAAATAATTTATATATTTGTGGCATATGTTAACATAAATAAAAAAAATTATTGGTGTTTCTGATTTTTAGAAAAAAAAAATATGTGTCAATCATATTTTTTTTCCGACAATGCAACCAAATATAGAGGTTACAGCTCTGAATGTGCAATCAACTTTAAGTTCCAACATTAGCCGTTACACATCTGAATATTTTGCTACCAAATTTAAAATTAATTTAGTAACTAATCAAAAAAATAAATAATAAAAATATATATATTAAGGTGTAACGGTTTTAGCAGATTAGTGTTAATTTTAAAAAATGTAACTCCTTTTGGAGGGAAATGAAAATAGGTTTTATTAAATGTTTTATTAAATGCGTCAGCCAGTAATTATACATATAAATTCCTTTAACTTTCAAATATAAAACATTATTCGTATTCAAATTCGAATAAAAAAATTGGTTTGTTTACAAGTCTAACCAACGCTAATAATAACAGAAAGAACGATTACTTTTCATATTTAGCAAGTGTTGTATCTTTATATAGTTAATAGATGACAAATAAAAACAATGAAATTTTAAAATTGTGTATAGATATAAAATAAAATTATAATAATTATATTTGATATAATATGAAATAATAAAATGTTAATTAGTAGTTAAAAATATATTAAAGGATAAATAGTACGTTTTATGCAAAATATATAAATGTAAAATAAAATACATTATATATTTTTAAGAAACATTGTTTATTTCAATTAACTACTTTTGATGACCATCAAATAAAAAATAATAACAATAATAATAATAATAAATAATAATAATAATAATAATAATAATAATAATAATAATAATAATAATAATAATAATAATACCATGTGAAATAATAATAATACCATGTAAATAATAATAATAGTAATAATAATAATAATAATAATAATAATAATAATAATAATATCTTATCGCCAGTTAACTTCCAAAGTTTTTTTTTTCCAAGACAACCAAATAAATTTATAACTCAAACAAAAGTGTACAGATACACCGCTAATCAACTGATTACAGACACACAAGCACTCTCAAACGAGAACTATAGTATCACGAGGAAGAAACTTGTTCCACCCCTCAAAGACCATGTTAGTCTAGCAACAACTAAACTACTATAAAATACTAAATAAAACCACATTACAATCAATTGCGAGTGCATACACCTGGTCAAGAACGGGAACTGAGGAACCCAAGGAACAGTCTGAGAAGCTTTTTCTTTTCAATGTCTTCACATCAGCTGCATTATTAATGTAGCAAATACCAGACTTCCATTTCAGCTCTTTGATCTTGGACATACCCCATCTAGTTGCAAGTAAAGCAGCTTCCATATCTGAAACAGCTCTTGTGGCCTTTTATTCTCATTGTAACCTTGTTTTTCTGTCTTGCACAGCTGTACATTCCATCTTACCAGACCATCTTCAAATAAATGAGCACTGATTACCACCCACGTCTTACCTACTCTGTCATTGACTTTATCTGAATTAGTCTCACTATCAGTGCTATGCAATTTGTCCTCTGTGTTGATAAGCATCTTTCTTGATATCCATTCCACCCACTCTAGCTTAGCACTCTCAACAATTTCCTTCTCATCAAACCAGTCCCCTTTAAAATCCCATTTGTTTCTAGCTTTCCACAAATGCCACATTAGGAATGATGATAAACATAGCCTGTCAATTAAGACCTCATTCATCCCTGAAGAACAGGTTTGCATCCACCACCACTGAAAGTTCATATGGTTGTTCTGCATTAAGTTCCAATCAACTCCACTCAATTTCCAACACAGTTTAGCTTTTGGACAAGTAAACAATAGATGATTCAGATCCTCCACATCTTCCCCACACCCCTGACAGACTGTATCTACTGCAATATCTCTATTTGCCAAGTTCACCTTAACTCTTAGATAACCAAACCAGCACCTCCATAAAAAATGTTTTACTTTATGCTTAATAGGCAAGTGCCATGTAGCTGTCCACAATTTTCTCCACCAACTGCTTGTCTGACTAGTAGAAGCATGGCCTGACAGTGTAGCTTTCTTCTCCACAATAGTTTGATAAACAGCTTTTGTGGAGAAAGCTCCTTTTTTGCCCAAGTGCCATATCAATCTGTCTTTTCTACTTTGAGATGGAAGAAGAATCTTAAGAATGATTTCAGCATCAATGGGATCAAATGTCTACATGATTAACTCCCTATCCCCACTCTCTAGTATCAATTTTAATCAATTCACTCACTTTTTTCACTATCACTCTCTCTCCCCAAAAACAGCATCTAGGTTTAAAGGTGGAATTATTTGGGATCCAAGGAGAATACCATACATCAATTGAGCACCCATCCCCAACCTCAAACCTACCCCCTGATCCTAACATAGACACTAAGCCAACTTTTCCAGAGCCATGAATCACTATTTTTAGCTCTCGCTGTCATCAAATTACAATTCCTAAAATACTTTCCTTTAAACGCTCTACTAACCAATAGATTTGGTAAAGTGATGATTCTCCACAATTGCTTTACTAACAGTGCATCATTGAAAGCCCTTATGTCTCTAAAACCCAATCCCCCATCTTCTTTGGGTTTACACAGTATTCCCCACTCTCCCCAATGCACCTTATTTCCACCTCATTCATTTTTGCCCCACAAAAAATTAGCAATATCCCTGCAAATTTGTAAAATTATAGAGATAGGAATTTTAAAACAAGACATCACATATGTGGTAAGAGCACTCAGAACTGATTTTATGAGAATTTCTTTTCCTGCCTCACTCAAGAATTTATTTTTCCAACTCAATATTTTGTTTTTCACACTCTCACTCACAAACAGAAATGTTTTTCTCTTAGATCTCCCTATACCTAAAGGCAGTTCCAGGTATTTTGAGGATTTAACTCTTTGAATTCCAGACAGAGAACTACAAATTTGTTGTTGAGTTACTTCACGAGTGTTCTTTGAGAAGAGAACAAATGATTTATCAAAATTAACCACTTGCCCAAAATCATGACCATAGGCAGTAAAGATTTTACTAATGAGAATGGCATGGTGCAAGTTAGCTTTACAAAAAAACTATAAAATCATCAGCAAAAAAAGGTGACTGACCACATGAGCATACTTACCTATTCTTATTCCTTGAAACAAACCAGAAGAACAGGCCTGATTGACCAAGTTGTAGAAGGCTTCAGAGACTAAGATGAAGAGATAAGGGGACAGTGGGTCCCCTTGTCTAAGACCTCTAGTTGGTTGAAGAAAACCAAGAACAGACCCATGGATACTGAATGAATAAAATGCAGTACACACACAGGCCAAGATCCAAGACACAAATTTCTCACTGAAACCCATTTTTCTACAAAGTTTAGCAAGAAAAGCCCATTCAACTATATCATAGGCCTTAGCCATGTCCAATTTTATAGCCATGAAATTTCGTTTGCCTTTCCTTTTACAATTAAGATAATGCACACATTCATTAGCTAATACCACATTGTCCAAAATTTGTCTAGCAGGAACAAAAACAGATTGAGAACTAGAAGTACACCGAGGCAGCACACATTTTAATCTATTGGCCAAGATTTTAGTAAGTAATTTGTACACCATAGAGCACAGACTAATAGGTCTGAAAGCAATAACTTTAACATGATTAATCAAAGTTATTACAGTCACTTAACTTCCAAAGTTAATGTATGAATGTGTTTCTCTTTTTTGTTTTCTGCCTGCCGACAAAATCCAAAAACGAAAAGAGTGAGAATAGCGAATACCATGTGAAAATAGCCCTCTCAAAAATAAATTCCAGAAATTAGAATCTGACGTGGAGTGTGTGTATCGAAGCTCTTATCCGATAGTCTGATGTCTTCTTATCTATAACCCGATTATCTCACGTCTCTCTCACTTCAAATATTTTTCCTTTTTATCACCTCATTCAACTTATCGTTTTGTTTTTTCATTTTTCGGGGTCACAAAAATTATAATTCTTTCGTACAAGATAGGTATTAACCAAACTTTTGAGTGGCTCCTTTAAATAATTTAGTAATGAGATATCTATTTTTTTTTTTCGTACAAGATAGGTATTAACCAAACTTTATAATTTTGTGTGTAGATCCAATTGCTAAAATCCACACGTCCACACCAGTAAATTTGAATTTACCATGACGATAAAAAAGAAAAACAATAACTAAGCAATGAATAATGATAATGTGCAAGTTACGAGTAAACATCAAAATAAATTAATGTCTGTGGACCTGTGGTTGTACAGTGAAGCAAGCATGAGATTTTAATTTTTTAATTAATGCCAGAAGAGTAGGTAATAAATAAGGTAGTGCTTATCCATCCCAACCCAATAGAATAATAATAAGCAGCTTAAATTTTTTATAGTCCGACTCAATTGTCACAGTGACACTTTCCCGAAAAACAAACATTTGTCATTTTCATTCCATTTTCATAATCTTGCTTAAGAACTCGGAAAGCCACTGCTTTCAGAAATTTCATGGCCTTTTTCACAGGTTAATGCTGAAAGAATGTAAGTAATGAAAACCTTTTCTTCTCTTCATATTTCTTACAAGGAATCCAGGTTTCTCCTCTCTTGTCCCCTTGATTTATAATTTGCTCTGTGTTCGTNCTTTTTATGATGTTTTTTTGGGAGTGATTTCATTTGAGAATTGAGGAATGTTAAATAATTAATTCCAAAGCAGCAAAAGAATTAGCTATTCAGAGTGTGCTTAGCAGGAAATTTACTTGGTTATGCACAAATTTGGTCTCTCTGCAAAACAAATACTTGAAAATGTTTTATTTTGTTAGCTATTTATAGTTACAATTTTCTTCTGAATCTGCTTTGTTTAATCACAAATTAAAGTGCTTTTTCCAGCTTTTGGTGACATGAATATTCCTTTGTCTCAACCCTTACCTCCTTAATTATGCTAGTTGTTTAATGAGATGGTCAAGAAAAAAAAAACAGGGGAAGAATAATTTCAAAAGATTATGATAAAATATTTGTGAAAAAGAATAAATAAATTAGGAATTACTTTCAATCATTGAGTAAAGCCGTCCATGTTGAAAATTATGTTATTTTGAAAGATCACAAGGTAATCCATAGACGACCATGCTTCTTATCTTGTGCCTTATATGATAAGCTATTACATGAATTAATTTGTTATAGGCTTATAGCCCAATACCAATAGAAAGAAGAATAATGAAAAGGGTCTATTGGAAATCATGAAAATCAGGGCATCAAAGAAAATTATTGCCATTTGATTGGTGCCAGCGCATCCTCTCTGAATAATAAATTATAAAAAAAAATAAAAAATTAACAGCTTCTGTTATTGTGATGGGTGTTGTTCTAACAGAATCTATTGAAAATTGATATTTCAGATAAATGATGAATCTACCGGAAATATACTTCACCGGGACTTGAAAAACTCGATCCTTTCGTCGCAAACTTCTCCATATCAATCGCTCGTTTGCTTCAAGAATCTATAATATGATTACGAAAGATAACTCGGGCACAATTGACACGGCCAAATATGTCTTCTCAAAGTACTACGAGTACTTACCTTACATGCGCCTAGAAAAGGAAAGCATTCTCAACGTCTTGCATTCTCGTGAAACGGGCACGAATACCAAATCTCGCAACAAGTCAAAGTCAAACCCAAAATGGTCGTCTTTTACTAGAAAAAGTCAATGCTTCTATACGAGGTCGTTGTGTGCCGCGAAAATCGGGCGGCCGCTTTTTTATTCTATCACTAATGTGGAAAAAGGCGTTGACAAGAGGCTTAGACCTAGGCAATTCGAATACAATCCATTAGATTCTGGCTTAATGGCAATCGGAACTCTTGATGGCGAGGTGATTGTGGTCAACCACGAGACGGGGAATATTGTGTCCCGTGTGGCCTCGTGTGGGGATATGAATAGTATTCTCGGTCTCTGTTGGCTCAAGGAACAACCCTCTAAGGTAATTGAAATTTTATTCGAGTTGGTGTTTCGTTTGGTATCCTAGCTGTCTAGTTTAATGTCATGAGCGTTGATTGCAAACTCGAATCATATTATATTATATTTTACAAACTGCACCGATTGAGCTGAGTAATTAATATAATACCGGTAAGGCGAACTCAAAAGCATCTCTTTCAGGGAGTTGTACTTTTCCATTTTTCGAAGATAAAGATAAAACGATACAGAAATATTCAATGCCTTTGTGTAGCTCCTAGTGGGCTCCGATAACGGCTCGTTGAGATTGTACGACGTCAACTGTGACGCCCTGAAATCGTCCAAGGACTGCTATTGCGACCCGGTTGTGACCTTTGACGACTTCGAGCAGCTGACATCGGTTCACGTCAACTCGACAGACGACCGCTGTCTGGCGAGCGGCTACTCGAAGAAAGTCGCGATTTACGACATCGCTAGTGGCAAAAGGTTACAACTTTTATCGGACATGCATCGTGAGCCCATAAATGTCGCCAAATTTTCGAACCATTCCCCGAGCATGTTCGTGACCTCGTCGTTCGATCGTGACGTGAAGATGTGGGACACGAGGCAGAAGCCCGTGGGCCCGTGCTTCTCGGCCCGAAGCACGAGAGGAAATGTGATGGTCGTGTTCTCGCCTGACGATCTTTATTTGTTGGTCTCGGCCGTTGATAATGAGGTACCTAATTAACTGAAAATAAATATATTTTCGTAATCTATAACGATGGTAACTTTTGAGGGTAATTAGGTCATTGCGCGATTGATTTACCAGGTGAAGCAACTTCTATCGGTGGATGGGAGGCTTCACACTGATTTCGGCATAGTGTCGACCGGAAGTGCTCATAACTACACTCGATCTTATTACATGAACGGAAGAGATTACATCATTAGTGGGAGCTGTGAAGAATCGACGGTTCGTGTTTGTTGTGCTCAAACGGGCAGGCGACTTAACGACATTTCTTTGGAGGTAATAAGAAAATAAGGAAAACAGTTACTTTTGTAAGAGTGTTATTATCACATTCAAGATCTAATTGTGAAG